TTAATACTGTAATAATAATAATAATAATAATAATAATAATAATAATAATATAATATAATTTCACATCATTTTGTACAAATATATAAAAATACAAAAAAGGGATTTTTTTTTTCTATCCAAATATAGTGAATTTAAAAAATGCAAATATTGAAAGTGTGGAGTAAAATTGAAATATATGGATAATAAAGAGGTGATAAAAAATTTTATCATCCATCAATATTAGCATCCATATAATGTATTTTTTTTAAATGTTTTTTATCATATAATTGTTCATTTAAATATTTCTATTATATTGCCAAAAAAAAAAAAAAATTTTGAATCGAATTATAAACCAAACGGTTAAATAAAATCAATTGTTTTTTTCCTGCAAAGAAATATTAGTTCATAAAGGTGTTCATAAAGATGTTTCTAATCTTAGATAAAGACTTGCAACGAAAATATTGCAAAGAATTATTAAACATAATAAAAATTTGTATAAAAAAATAAAAAAATGAGGTTCATATTTTTACAAATTACAAATATTAGAAAAATAAATAATCTAGTGGTGGCATTCATTATATACAATTAGGAGTCGAACTGCTTGGGGTACTTGCTCTGTGAAGTGACTTAGATCGGTAGATAAAAGGTTTCATAAATGGATGAAGAAAAGATCCTAATAAAATAAATAGAAAGAGTAAGTATTTGTTTGAAAATTTCAAATATATACAGTCAACTCTCCTTATAACATTATAAATTACCCACACTTAATAGTCTAATTTCTTAATAATTCTGCTCGTTATAACAAGAGTTGACCGTGAAAAATAGTAACTTCTTAAAAGCACATAAACTTGCTTTTTCTGGCCATTAGCTCTTCCATTCGGCTCTCAAGTTGTCGCCGTGCTTTCTCGGCATTTTCTTTAGCCTTTCGTTCTTCTTCCAACACTGCTTCGATAACCTTTTTCTCTTGATAAACTGAAGTCCTAGTATTTTCAAATTGAACTGTTGTTTCATCTAATTGTGAATGTAATTCTTTGACCTGATTAAGAAGTTCTGATTTTTCTTTTTGTAATATTTGTATTTTTATATATTTGTACAAAATGATGTGAAATTATATTATATTATTATTATTATTATTATTATTATTATTATTATTATTACAGTATTAT